AAAAAAACCTATGTTTACCGTTTTATCTCTAAGGCAAACTGGACCAGTGTCTACATTTCTAACTCTATTGTTAACAAAACCTATGTCTACCGTTTTGGCTCTAGGGCAAACTGGACCAGTGTCTACATTTGTGACTCTATCGATAATCAAATGTATATCTACCTTTTTGACTCTAGTGAAAATCGAATCTGGGGCGACATTTTTGACTCAATTGCTAACCGAACGTATGTCTACCTTTTCTTTATGGAGCTTTCTGATGCCACATTTATTCTCGATAACCGAATGTATGTCTACCTTTTCGACTCTAGTGAGAATCGAATCTTGGGCGACATTTTTGACTCAATTGATAAGCGAACGTCATGTCTGCCTTTTCGACTCTAGTGAGAATCGAATCTGGGGCGACATTTCTGACTCAATTGCTAACCGAACGTATGTTTAGCTTTTCGACTGAAGGGGAAACTGAACCTGTGTGCCTTGTGCAAACTGGACCTGTGTCTACTTTTTTGACTATAGTGCAGATTATATTTGTGGCTACTTAGCAACTCTTACTGGGGATCAATATAGAAACTTATGCCAAAATCAAAGCGCTTTCCTCAGTGTTTTGCTGATGTTGTCGTTTAAATGATTACACTTTTCTTTGAATTTCCCAAGGTTGAAATCTTTTTTGCAAGTTCCTAAGCGTCCCAATAAGAATAAATACGACTATAACCATTATATTTTTCAATTTTCTCACAAGATCGAAATATCTCAGCTTTCTAATGCAGGAGCTGCTGGAACGGAAATATCCCTTACTCGAAAGTTGTTTTTATCTTTGTTTAAACTGGCAAAATATGGTCGTTTGGTCTAGTGTAAAAGAACTGTTTAAAAATAACAAGGAATCTTATATTTTCTGTTCCCTGGAGAATCATATTTACATCATATGGACTCTTTTTTGACTCTTTTAAGATTTACTCACCTTTATATAAATTAACAGGGTACCATCGCTTACTATTTTATGTGATTCTATTTTACCATCATTAGAAGTTGTTCTAATTTATTTGCTCTTGTGGATTAATAATCTAAATTATATTTCTCTTTTTAAATAACCTCTGCGCAACCACACACACACATCATGTCTAGCTCCTCTTTTATTGTGTTCGTTACTGCATTGATCGCAGAGTTGAAACAAATTTTGAATTCTGATTATTACATTTTTTTCTGTACTCGTTTCTATTTACATGAATAGAGGAACACGTCATCTATAGATTTCATGTCTCTATGGAATTTAAAAAAATATTTTTCCATCCAGTATAAAGCACAAGATTCACTGACAAAATGTGGTTGTAAGGGCGTGCGGGGAGGGGGCAATAGGAGGTGATTATTGTGAGGATATGTAGGATAGATAATGGTTGGCCCTCAGTTTGAAGAGGTTAAGATTGTAATGGAACTATCCTTCCAGGAGATCGTTTAACAATGCAACAGTTCTGGAGAACGAACTGTCTGAGCCTAGAGTTAATACATTTTATTGCAACATTTCTTCCTCTTCTTCTTCTTCTTCTTCTTCTTCTTCTTCTTCTTCATCATTATAATTATTATTATTATTATTATTATTATTAAAGAATATAAGTACGCTTCATGGCTGTCGCAAATTTTAGATTATTTTTTTAAAAAAGAAAATGTTTCGTTTCTAATTATATATATATATATATATATATATATATAATATAATATAATAGGCTCAGCCACTAATATTCCATGGTTATAATTTATTACATTGGAATCGTAATTACGATGCAATTCATCAGACCTAGGTTTGTTTTTTCTATCCCTCAATCTGTCTTGAGAGTCTCATATTCTCCAAGCCCTCCTTCCTCATTACGTGCCCAAAATTTCAACTGCCTCTTCCTGATGTTAAGTATAAATTTCCTTTTGTTTTCATTTTCTGTAAAACTTCGTCGTTGCTCACATGTTCGGTCCATGTTATCCTCAGCATCCTTCTGTAGAATCACATTTCTGTTGCTTCAATTGTCTTCTTCATTTCTGAGGAGATTGTCCATCATTTGCTGCCATACACGAGGACAGATATCACGTAACAGTTCAGTACTTTTTTTTTTGTTTCTGACGACATTTTTCTGTCTCCTAATACTCAGCTTAGGTTTTTGATTGCATCATTGGTCATCTCAATACTTCTTCGGATTTCAGTGTCGCACTTTCTGTCCTCTGTTAGAATACTTCCTAGATTTACTGTTTTCCTATTATACGGTTGAAGATGTCATCTTTATTCACCACCCCTCATAATCAGCAATCAGTATTCTGCTATGTTCTTAGAATTAATATAGCTGATTCTTACGCAATAGTTCTGTGCTGTCATATCTAGAGATAGTGTTTCTCCTTAGAAATGTCCACTTCGCAATCATTTCCATGTCATCACAACTGCACCTCCTTTTAGAGAGCTCTCAAAATTTGTTTTTCTTCCGATTTATTCATTTATTTGTTTTTGGTATGGAGCTTTCTGATGCCACATTTATCCTCGATAACCGAACGTATGTCAACTTTTTCGACTCTAGTTAGAATCGAATTTGGGGCGACATTTCTGACTCAATTGATAAGCGAACGTATGTCTACCTTTTCGTCTCTAGCGAGAATCGAATCTGGGGCGACATTTCTGACTCAATTGATAACCGAACGTATGTCTACTTTTTCGACTCTAGTTGGAATCGAATTTGGGGCGACATTTCTGACTCAATTGATAAGCGAACGTATGTCTACCTTTTCGTCTCTAGCGAGAATCGAATCTGGGGCGACATTTCTGACTCAATTGATAACCGAACGTATGTCTACTTTTTCGACTCTAGTTGGAATCGAATTTGGGGCGACATTTCTGACTCAATTGATAAGCGAACGTATGTCTACCTTTTCGTCTCTAGCGAGAATCGAATCTGGGGCGACATTTCTGACTCAATTGATAACCGAACGTATGTCTACTTTTTCGACTCTAGTTGGAATCGAATTTGGGGCGACATTTCTGACTCAATTGATAAGCGAACGTATGTCTACCTTTTCGTCTCTAGTGAGAATCGAATCTGGGGTGACATTTCTGACTCAATTGATAAGCGAACGTATGTTTACCTTTTCGACTCTAGTGAGAATCGAATCTGGGGCGACATTTCTGACTCAATTGATAACCGAACGTATGTTTAACTTTTCGACTGAAGGGGAAACTCTACTGCAAATTTACCTGTCATAATTATTTATTCTATTTACTTTGCGTAACTTAGATGCGCAATTAGTGCAATGGTTAGCGGCCCGAAACGAGAAATCAGCGAGACGCATTCGAATGATGTCGATCGAGTTCTTTACATTCACTTTCACGCAAATACCCTTGGTAAAGTTATGAATTCATCTCTTCTCCCCCGGTTATGGGTTAAATAGTAATGAAGGCTGGCCTCTCTAGCCGTGGTTGACAGCCAGTTAACGAAGAAGACAAATCTGAATTCAATAAAAAAACTGTATGTAGTCCTTGTGACACTTAACAACCATAAAAAAATCATAATCTTTTATATGGTTATATTGTATCACCAAGAGTACATACGGTTCCAAGTTGCGTAAGGTTTCCGGATTCTATGTTCTTGAATGCGATCACTGAGGTAGAGGGTAAGTTTTCCATAACTCCCAATCCCTTGGTAGCTTAACGGACGCAATGTACAATGCTCTTGCTCACTATTATTATTGTCATTTGACCTTGTCGTGTATCAGTGCAAGAACAAACGCGAAAGCAGTTAGCAGATATGTACTACTTTATTTTTCCCGTTTCAATTCATTAAGAGCCACAATCTGTGCTGCGTCCGTTTGTGGCCTCTTTGCTATGCCAGGATCTTCAGCGCAACGAGTGTTTATCTTTCTTTGTTTTCCATTTCTTTTTTTTTTATATGACGTAGAGTGCACTTTTAATGGCCGACCACAGAGCTGACGCTTGGCCTCGTCAAAGAACAGGGACGACATTATCAAAGAGAATAAAAACATAGACCTAAACTAAAGAGACACGTGCAAGCGGTTGATACGAAGCGAAAATATGCCAGGATACGTGCTTACCGAGAAACGGATATCTCTATGGGTGCGTCTGTATGTGTGCACGAGATTATGATTGCGTATATTGTGTGTGTGAACTCTTAAATGACATGTATACAGGGGTGTAATCGAGGACATACGTGCAATCGAGTACAGGCCTGTAACCGGGTATAGACATAATAACGAAAGCATGGAAAGGAAATGCCGGATTGCATAACAGCTTACAGCACAGAAAATGGAATTGATGTCCGGAGTTCGAATTCCACCTGAGGTTTCATTCCCTTTGCACAAATACCATAGGAAGAGTCATGAACCGACTTCTCCCAATAGATTAGATACTGGAGCCCTCAGCAATTGATACATAACAAGGAAGGTGGAGCGGGCGTTGAGCACGGTAAGACAACCTAAGAGACTACTACTCTGACGTCGTCTTAGTAGTAATCACGGGTACCTTGACTCGCCCAGTCTTTGGTACATCGACTTTACGAACTTAAGCGCATAATGTTAATAGTATATGGCGTATAGTTTAAGAGTATTTGACGTATAGAAATAGAAAAATCAAATGCTGACATTTTATGTTAATTCGATGGAGCATACATAGAACTTCAACCAGACAGATATCAAGTTAATCCACAGGATAAGGTGGTAGTTGAGCCGTAAGTTCTATACTAACAGTTTCTTCGTTTACACTTCTCGCTCTGGAAACTCCCTTCTAGCTTCTTGCTTTCTAGTCAACTTCGATCTTAAAATAAATTAAAATACATTATCACGCATTATATTCTGTCTTCTTAATAATGTTTTTCAGTTTCTCATATTCTTTTACACTCAGTAACCAATTTGCGTCTTAGTGGGCTTGTTGCCTGGCGCTTGGGAGTGAAATGATTAAACAAAGAATCAAGTATTTGTGCACAGTGTGTAAGTATTTGTGTATGTGACTATAATTATTGGTGGGCTTACGGCCACATCATGTTGAAACATCGGCTCCCTTACGATCACCGAAGTTAAGCGTAGTCGAGCTTCGTCAGTATCTAGATGGGTGACATCTTGAGAATACTAGATGTTGTAAGCTTAAATGGTTGGTGGTGTAATGTCTAATAGCTCGAAATTGTTAATCAGAGAGCTGAGTTCCAATTCCACTTGGGCTCGGTATACTCACTTATATGCAAATACTCTTGGGAAAGGTATGAATCAATTTTCCCCCCAGGTATGGGCTAATTAGTAAGACTTGTATCACAAAACCATTAGTTGTGGGTGCGTATGACTATGTTTTTATTTGCTGAATTTTTATGTATGAGTGTGCGTAGATATTTTTACGTATTTGGTATATTTGCTTGTTAGCAGGTGTACAAATGCAATTTCCTCTACCTGAGTCTGACGATGGCTTATTTAACACATGCATATCTGTCTGCGTATATATATATGATTTAGGCGTGTGAGTAGGTGAGTGTTGGTGTGTATGCGCGAATATTGGTGTGTCTGTTGGTTAGTTGGTTGTTTTGTTTTATGGCATATCGATCTCAGTGGGTCATTTAATGCCAAGAAAATTTTGAAATAGATTCATAGTTTGGTAAAAAAAAAAAGATGTGTATGTATACATATATATTTGAACTACTTTTTAATTACTCTTATTTTTGTGTACAATGTAAAAAAAAAGATGTGTATGTATAGATATATATTTGAACTACTTTTTAATTACTCTTATTTTTGTGTACAATGTAAAAAAAAAAGATGTGTATGTATACATATATATTTGAACTACTTTTTAATTACTCTTATTTTTGTGTACAATCCATCTTCTTTTAGGAAATTTACAATCTTGGATGGTTTTATTTTCGTAAAAAGTCTTCTTTTTTTTTTTAATTACTCACTTGTTTTTTTTGTTTTTTTTTACGGCATATCAACCTCAATGGTTTGTTTAATGGCGACAAAATTTTTATTGCTGGTAATATTTTGTTTTGTCAAAAATCTATTTCTGGTAATATTTTTTTTCCTTCAAAAATGTATTGCTGGTAATATTTTTTTTCAAAAAATGTATTTCTGGTAATATTGTTTTTCCTCAAAAACGTATGGTTGGTAATTTTTTTTTTTTCAAAATTGTATTGCTGGTAATAGTTTTGTTCTTCAAAAATTTATTGCTGATAATAACTTATTTTTACATTTTCATAGTGTTTTTACTCCAGTTTCGGGGTTTAATGGCCGACCACAGAGCTGACGCTTGGCCTCGTCAAAGAACAGGGACGACATTATCAAAGAGAATAAAAAAAAGACCTAAACTAAAGAGACACGTGCAAGCGGTTGATACGAAGCGAAAATATGCCAGGATATTATTTGCCTATAGCTGGGACCCTAACAGGTGCTACCACCCCGGTTCAGAGTGGACCTGGGAACACCAGCAATTAAGAGGTGGTTCATGTTTCTCAAAACCTCCTGATCAGAGGCCTTGCTGTTGGATGTAGTTTATCGTCTTACCCAGGACGTGAATGTAGTTTATCGTTATACCCAGGACGCGAATGTAGTTTATCGTTATAAGCAGGACGAGTGTGTTTGTGCTTTTGTGTGTATGTGTACATATCTATCAGTGTGTGCTTGAGATTAACTACTTTACGTATAAGAGAATGAGTGTTTGGAAACATTTAATATAAATCTTTTCCATATACTTTGGTGCTACCACATTCAACCATAACCTCTGACCATTATCAAGATCAAGGAAGAACGATAAAAATTATTTCTTTCATTTTCTATTATTTCTCATTTTGTGCGTTATGACGACGTAAAGTGCCGAAGTATTACACAGTTGAAATCTTCATCTATCGTGTGTAAAATACTTTCGAAATCCCAGTTCTCATACCAAAGATCTTATTGAACGTACGATTTCTTGATAAAGGCTTCAAGTATATGACTTTTTATTACAATTAATATTGAATAGTACATGGTGTATTGTTTACGAGTGTTTGACGTACATCAATAAAAATATCAAATATGAACTGTATATGTTAATTCACTGGACACATATAGCACTGCCACCAGACAAATGTCAAGTTAACCCACAAAATATGGTAGTAATTATATGACCAGTTTTGTAATTTTATGTTTGTACATCATAGAGATACAAAAATTTCCAGCTATTTCACCATAAACACTTGTTTGGTCTAATACATTGTTTCTCCCATTTCCTTCAAAGAAAAATTTCAATAATAGAAGAATCTGGATCTCTGGGTGCTGGGCGAAAAGGTTAGGAAAAGAAATAAATTCAGTTCGGGTATGCTGTTCAAAATTAAATACAACATTATTATGCTGTTTGTTTAGCGGCATATCAACATCCTTATGGGTCATTTCATGCCGAAATTTAATTTTCTTGGGAACATTAGTAATTTCATTTACAAAAATGTATTGCTGGTAATAATTTTTAAAAATATATTGTTCGTAATATTTTCTTTTTCACAGAAATGATTTCCTGGTAATTTTTATTACTATGAAAATGTATTTTATATATTCATAGTGTTTTGAACCCAGTTTGCTGGGTAGCTATTTGCACATAGTTGAATACCTAACATGTGCTACCACCCCCGAATCAAGGTGGACCTGGAAACAGCAGCAATTAAGAGGTTGTGCCACGCTTATCAAAGCCTTCTAACAAGAGGCCTTGCTGCCGGGTGTAGTTTATCGTCATATCCAGGACGAATATTAGCATATCTACCTTGCATGCTCGTTAACATAACAAATTGTGATCTTACAAATCCTCTATTCGTTATTATAGTTAATTTGATTCTTAATAAATGTCCTATAATTTTCAATCTAGTACAAGCCAAGATGAGTTTGCTAAATATTTTATGAATTTAATATCTACGTGTGTCTAATCTGGTAAATATCATTTGGTACGTTTTTTGCGTTTATGTAAATTGTGTACACAACATTTAAAAATCAATGAATTAAGAACTAGCCAGGAAATCAATAAATAAAAAGTATTTAACCACTCTCCGATTACATTAAATCTCAGCAGCCATTCCGTCTAGTTTCAGAGAGAAGGCTGCCTGGACTTAATATATAATGTATCTAATATTTGGGAATGGTAATCGGAATGTGGTCTTCTGATTATGGTAAAGAAATCGCTGATAATCGACATAGTACACACCAGATTATTCATAAAGTGTTTAACAATCGCTGAATGTACAGTATTAACGACTTTATGCAGCTTATCGTATCTTCCACAAATTTCAAAATTTCCTCACACAATTTACATGTTTGTCCTCGATTGGCTCCAAAGAGCGAGGATCAGAAACAGGTTAGCCTTTCTTTTTGTTATTTTTTTCCTTTGCTATTTTTTTGTTTATTATTCTTTCGATATCCTTGCTCCTCCTCCGTTTTTGTTGTTGGTTTATATACAATTTTATATGTCAGTTTTTATAATATATATGTGGTGCGAGGGTAAATTGTTGCCATTTTATACTTTTAATTTCGCGCATGCGCTTTGTTTGTTTTTAATTTTACCGACTGCACAGTATAGTAGGCACAGTTGGGCATCATCTATAAGAAAAAAAAGGACCATGACGCAATTCGCTCTGCCAGAAATTTAGAAATGGCATGCTGTACTATTTTGCGTTCCAGCCGGAAGCTCCAATACGAACATTTCAGAGTGTTTGGGTGAAGATAGTGCAGAGGATTCGGAGTTGGCTGAGTCTAATGGTGATTACGAAGGTACCACAGATCGGAAAACTCAGTGATCATTAGAAAATGTTGCTGGGGCCCTCTGACTCAACACGGTGGCCTGTATCAAGATGTTGGCTGCTGGAAGACACTATGTCTGACAACATGACTCTGCATCATGCCACACAAGAGAAGAATCCATTCATGACTATCAGACAATATCTGCGACCACATCACCTTTTATAACTGTCCACCAACTCTCCAGGTTGCAACCCCCTTGATTATCATGTGGGGGTCGCAATTTAGCAAGAGACTAAAAAAAATCCTTGGAAAACCTAAGATTAACTGAAGGCAAGGATTATGGCAGTATTCACCAACTTAAACAAGGAGGGCATCCAGAAGAAGTTGCAGGTGATTACGAAGTCGTCTGATTGAAGTCTATGATTTTATTGAATGAATTTATTTTTTAGTATTTCAAAATATTTTTGTGTAATTTTGGTAAATATATCTGTTAAAATGTGACGGTAATTACACGGCAATTTATCCATCGCACACAATATTTCTCTCTTTCGCTCTCTCTCTCTCTCTCTCTCTCTCTATCTATCTATCTCTCTCTCTCTCTCTCTATATATATATATATATATATATTGTGCAGAGAGATAGAAAGATTGGATGAAGGAAAGAGATAACGCACATATTATACATGCGCAGAGTAGCCAAGTTATATCTCGTTCACCAATAATTTCAAATAGTGCTGCATCTTGTTATAAAATTCTACTATCATTTAATATCAAGGCATTGTATAGTGCAATTATATATGTATTTTCATATATATATATATATATATATATATATATATATATATATATATATATATATATTATATTATTTAATGCGAAAGAACAATAAGATTTATAATCCAGTGTTCTTATTATTTTTATTTTTAAAAAACAGTGCTCAGTCCAATTCTGTAACGTATAAACATTATAAGTTTACTAATTTAAAATTATGGTCCCATCGCTACACAGGAATTACCATGTCTCAAAAGAGAAACTAAAACTTTGAATTTAATTATAGAATTCCAAAAATTGCTTCGAAATGAAACAGTACTAAGGTTTTTAATTTAATTTCATAATTAAATTTAAAGTTTTAGTTTCTGTTTTTCAGACATGGTAATTCCTGAGTAGCGATGGGACCATAATTTTAAATTAGTCAATTTATAATATATATATTTATATATATTATTTAGAAAATATTGAGAAAATAAATAAGATCGCCCAGTATAGAGAGAGCGATAATATTACATGATGAGAAGTTTAAACAACGCGAATACGTTCATCCCACCGGTCACAATGACTTGTGACTTCGTGCTAGCTCAACAATCGACGGCTTCTGAACAATTCCGGATTTTTTTATCATTTCG